ACTTACAATGCTAAAAACGAGGTTTCGATACCCGTGGTGGGCAGAGCACAGATAGTCTATTGTGTAGCTTTGTGCTTAACTTCAAATAAACAAACAATTATTACTCAGCATTTGCTGTAAAAATTAAACAATTTTTTGCCTGATATTATATTTTATTTCCAGAATACCCTTTCATTATTTTCTTTCTTTCTTTTTCTAGAATGGGCCTATGAGGCTTTTCTATAGAATTTTGGACAAACCTTACAAGAGGTTGAAAACGTGTCACCCAACCTTAACTGAAACGCCAACTGTCAGTACTGATGACAAAGTCAAGTCATTCACTCCACAAATACCAAATAGAATGCCTTCTGGTATAGAGACAAATGGAGTAGAGTCTTCATGCACTGAAGAGAAAGAGGATACTTTCATTGAAATTCAGTCAGGGTCACAAAGAAAAAAACCAACCAAGAAAGCAATCAAGATAACTTGAAAAGTCTTTGTGGTGAACCTTTCAAAGAAAGTCGCCCAGTTCCATCAAATTCAACAAGTGATAACAGTCAATTGAATGGTACACAACAGGTGATTACCATAGAAAAAAAGAAAAAAGATTATAAATCTCAATCCTCCAATGTTTTTTATCTTCCAAAAATCAAAACTAAGCAGGATAATTCTTTCAAGGACAAATCTACTACAACTGAAACACATCGAGACCTATGGAATTCGTTACTAAAAGAAACACCCAGAATAGTTGAAAAACTCAAACTAAAACCCGTTGAGTTACCTCAAAAGTCAGAAGAACAAACACAACTAATTGAAGCAAAGAAATGCACCAGTCAAATTGAATCCAAGAAACGTACTAACATTACTGAAACTAAGAAAACAGTCAGTTCCTTCGAGAGTAAAAACTTAAATGGTTCTTCAGAGCCTAAGACACTTGCTAACCCTGTTGAAAGTATGAAACCAAACAATCCTGTTGGACCAAAGAAATCTGGTATATCTGTTGAAAGCAAAACACCTAACATCTTTACTGGCACCAGCCTTGCTGACAGAAAGAAACATAGCATTCCAGCTGATACTATGAAACCCACCAGCCGTGATGAATCAAAGAAATCCACCATTTCAGACGAATCCAAGAAATTCCCTAGCCCAGATGACTCCAAGGAACTCTCTAGCCCAGTTGAATGCGATAAACTATCTAGCCCAGATGAATCCAAGGAACTCTCTAGCTCAAATAAACCCAAGAAAATCTCCAGCCCAGATGAATCAAAGAAACTTACCAATCCAGATGAATCCAAGGAACTTACTAGTGCAGATGAATATAAACAACTCACCAAGTCAAATGAATACAACATACTCTGTAGCCCAAATGAATCGAAGAAGTTCACCAACTCAGCTGAATCCAAGAAACTCATCAATTCAGCTGAATCTAAGAAACCCTCCAGCTCAGCTGAACCTAAAAAGTTCACTAGCTTAATTGAATCCAAGAAACTTACCAGCCCATCTGAATCCAAGAAACTTACCAGCTCAGCTGAATCCAAGAAAGTCGCCAGTCCAGCTGAAACCACTAAACTTATTAACCTAGCTGAAACAAAGAAACTTGCTAGCTTACAAGAAGTTAGAAAAAACTCTAATTTAACTGAAACCAAGAAACTTATCACACCAACTGAAGTCAACAATAGTACCAACCCAATCGAAATAAAAAAACTCAGTAGCGAACCTCCTACAATAAAAACTACTGAAGTAAATGCTACCCATTTAGCCCCTACGGTATCCTCCTCGTTCTCCTCACTAGTTTCAACCACCGAGGCCCCCAAAAATCAGGATCTTACATCCGAGGTATTTCCAGCAGTACTGGGAGAAAAGGCAGGAAGACACCTGACAACATCATTACAAAAAGTACCAAAGTTTTCATTTAACGAAGACTCAAAAGTTTCTTGGCATCACGAAATAATTGAAAAGAAATCTAGAAAAGACAGCGAACTCAAGATATCAAACTCTCCCGAATTCCTTATTACTAAGCCCAGAGAGATTCCACCAATAAAAATTTCCCGTAAACTGTCTATTAAAATTGTTGATCATGATAGACTTGAGCTAAAGGAAGACTCAGAAGTGGACAGTGGAGTGGGCAGTGATGTAAGTAGTCGCCCTGAAACCCAATTGAGCGTGGAGGATGACTTGTGGTCACCTACCAATTCCACACCAGAAATAGAGAAACCAGCTACTCCATCTAAGCCATCCCTTACTCCTCCCCCAACACCATCACCATCAACTAGCAATCCGTGTCCATCGCCTAATGCTGGCTATTCATTGTGCCCTACTCCGTTACATGTTCCGTCCATTTCGCCAAAGTTGTGCCTCTCTCCTCGCGAGGAAAACGAGCCGCAGCGAGACGATATCGGAGCGTTGGACCTTTCCTTGTCCCACCGCCACGAGATTCGCCACCGTGATCGATCGTCTCAACCCCGGTCACGGCACGTAGCTAACCCACCGGTCCTAGACAAACATAGGCAACTGATTTGCCTGCCGGCGCCTACCACGCCGCAGCTCAAACGTCCACCACCGCCTCCAGTTCCACACACTCATATGTATAACAGGAAAGGAGACTCTGGAAGAAACCACCGCTTCAAGGGCAGCACTTTAACAGTGATCAATCCTGATCCCAACAGTTATCACCCTAAGTTAGTCATTAAGAACTTAGATCCACGACCTGACCACAGCCACCATCACCACAATCACCGAATGTAGAGTCATTGAACATGTTTTTTTTTTCTTTGTACAGAAGATAAGTCGTTGAACTCAGCATGACGTATTTCTGTGTGTGTTTATGTGTGCAAACTCTGTATTTTTCAAAGACGTTGAAAAAGTAATCGGAAATACGAAACTTGGCGAAGAAATAAAATAGTGTGTGTTTGTGTGTGCTATAAACTTCAAAAGAAAATCCGTTGATCATTTGAACCTCTAAACGTGAACTCGTGTAATGTAATTAATTTGGTGTGCACATTAATGGATACATTTAGAAATCTGGACGTCACAGCCAAATAATGTGAAAGTGGCTGCATATAATTTATTATCTAGAAATGGGAAATGTTTGACCAATGCTTTTTGTACTACCTTTGTGCGTGACAAACGACGTATGTCTGTTACATTCTTAGGCGTTGTTATCCTCAACCGTAACGGACATGATGTCTTGGTTAAACCAAGAACTTTCTGATACCTGCCTGACAGCTTATGTAAGTGTACGACCTGCCCGGGTTCCAAGAAGCATGATCTGAAATACGGCGTGTGGTCTTCCATATCGGTTAATTTGATGCGTAATGTACAAACTGTGCGGTAACATTTGCAAAGTTAAGTTGTCAGTTATGTATAAATAGAAATATATATCATCAGTCAAAAGTGCAATGATCAGAAGAATCTCCGTTGATATTTTGGATGGTTGGGAAAGTTGGGGGCACATTGATAACCAGTAAAGCTGTGAAAAAAGACGTAATTTCGTGATAATACGATATTTTTTGTGTGACTAATACGTGTTTATAAATCAGGGTAAACTGCTTTGTTATCATAAAACAGTTGAGAATTCTGTACTTTCTCTCTCTGGTCACGCTTACCGTAGAAATATCACGTATTTCAAGCAGGAATTTTATGGTCTTTGTAAAACAAGAGATGTTAGAGACATGATACATTAGTTAGTTTTCGTTTCCCTACAACTGCGGAAGTTTGCAGAAGCCGTGTGGTGAAAGTAACCTTTGGTGGACACATGATACATTAGTTAGTTTTCGTTTCCCTACAACTGCGGAAGTTTGCAGAAGCCGTGTGGTGAAAGTAACCTTTGGTGTACATTTTTTGTGAATTACTTTTTTTTTAAAAAACAATGATCACATGTTTTATCACTACTACTATAAAGCCACAACCAGTTGCATACACTTATTAACACTTGTAGTCATCGTAAACGTGAATTTGCTTGTACAGTTATGAATTAAAATAAGCAACTTGATGACGATTACTTTTATGTATATTCAAAAATAGACGACATAATTAAAAAAAAAAGATGTAGAAATATTGCTAAACCCGATATGTTTATTTTTGAATGACTAAGTCTTCTTTTTAGCCCTCGAATGCTGTGTTTTTTTGTAGCTGCAGAATTGTTCGTTCTCAGCGTGTATAAAATTAGCTTGAATAAAAACTCCATACTACATAAACGTGTTGTTTTCTGTAGGGGTATATATACATGAAACATATAACATAAAAATTGAATTTATTTGCTTATCTTTATGCTACACGATTAGAGAAACTTTATCAGAAAATGTACTTTCTTTTCATCCTATATATTATACGGTTCATGTGCTTCGTTTTGGATTGCGGAACATCAACCATTATCACTTATCATAGCTTTATAGAATAATGTAAGAATGAATATATACTACTGGTTCAGTATTATACATGAGTAAGGTAATAGTGTTCTTATTCGTCAACTAGGGACTCTGCCATCGTAGACGTTCAATACACGCACACACACATGCACACATTTTTATTAATAGATAATTATAAACCGGATGATTTGGTGTGAGTTTCTGTTGAATGTAGGTCTTAGGGTTAAAAACGAATCGCGAGAGACTATTGAAACGAAAAGAAAACGTCAGTAAACCTGAGATCGTGGATAAAATTGTAAAAAAAAACACATTACTTGGTGTTTTTGGTAGAATATACGGATAAAACCATGAAATAACATTGAAAAGGTAAGGCTTGCTACGTAAACGTTTTCAACATCTTATTTAATAGTGTAATGGCTATATTTGAAAGAGAACTCTAAGGATCTATCGAAAGTGCGATGTAATCTAGTAAGCATGAGTTGTTTTTATTTAATGAGGTTTTCACAATTTACTGCAGAGAGAGATTCACATCTAACAAGACGTCTATATGTAGAGTTATGACAGGGTCATACTGTGGATCTGTGGGTACTTCTTTTGTCTTGTTAACGTAAAAAAATAATAAATCGGGCTAAACATTCTGGAACTTGGGGGCGTTATAAGAGTGACAGTAAATTAGCATAGCTCAAAAGTTGGCGGTTGGTACTGCTAACTAGCTGCTTTTTATCTGCGACAGCTAGCACAGATGGTAGTAGCTTTGCGGGAATATTTAGTTGGAAAAAAAAAGCTAAATGCTGTCGATTGTTTGTTTGTAATTAAGCACAAAGCTACACAATGGGCTATCTGTGCTCTGCCCACCACGGGTATCGAATCCAGGTTTCTAGCGTTATAAGTCCGCAGACACACTGCTTAGCCACTGGGGGCCTGCCGCAAATACTTAGTCCAGTTCTTTGAACCAAATAACTGACACTTTTCAAACACTCAAAGCTAAAAGTGCAGAATTACATCTCAAACCCTTTGAAAGCCAGTTCGACAAGTTCACGAGCCCACGTGAAATATCTAAGAAGAGATTACAACACCCTTATTCCTTAATTTCATCTAAAATTTTTCATTAAAACTCATAATTACAAAAACCAATAAAACAGTTAACGTATAACTAAAATATAAAATAGTAGAAATAAATTACACGAACCTAAACTACTCCTTGAGCACGAAATGAACATTTG